GTTAATTTCGAATTCGCTTTTCTTTCCTCCCCCTTTTTTTTGGGAGGGGGCTGATTTATTTTTAGTAAATATTGTCCGATGCAAATCTCTCAGTTACAAGAAGAATTTATTTTAATGTTACTTTTTACTTCCAAAGGATATCTGAGGTATTATCGAAATCAATCGAGTTATTTGAAACGGCTATTTTTCCACGATTTTAAATAATTGTTACAAATTTTGTGCACAGGTAGATAATTTTAGTGAAATTATATGTGAAACTGTTGTGTTTCTTTCGCATAATGTAACATGAAAATCTAAAGGAGCGAAGCTTGCCGGAAAAGTAACAATACAGAGCAATTAAGACAATAACACGCCGAATAAATACTAATTCAGAAGTCAAACAACAAAAATAAGCGTTATATTTACAATTAAAATTAAAAAATTAAAAGCAATCGCTATTGACAGGGGCTTTCCACCCAACATTATTAATCAAGCAGTTAAAAAATTCTCATCTCAACACACTAAAAGGCACACTCTTGTTTTAGGAGATTATAAAAATTCTGTTGTCATTCCCTTCTTTCCATCAATTAGCTATAAAGTTGCACATATTTTGCAGAAATTTAACTTTCGGGTTTTTTATTCTCCCATCAATAAAATTCCGAGTTCCATACTCAAGGACCCCATTCCGGATATGAATTCCTGGGGTATTTATAGGATTCCTTGCCAGTGTGGTTTAATTTACATTGGCCAAACTAAGAGAGCCTTAAAATTTCGCGTCAAGGAACATGAGACATATGTTAGAAAAAAGGAAACACAGAAGTTTTCTGTTGCTCAACATTGTTGGTCCGAAAACCACACTTTCAGTTTTTCTGCTGCCAAAATTATTCAAAACACATCTTCCATTGGAGAACTGGATTTTCTAGAGGCGTTTCACATTCATAAAAATCTTTCTGTTCTAGTTAACGATCCTAATTCCAATCCAAATTTGCCTTCGGCCTTTAAAGAAATTATGTTTTAGTTCTGGTTTCACCAACAGATGGCGCCACTTGCTTATTCTTGTCCAGGCTTTCTTATCTTATCTAATCATTATTTCCTACCTTGTTCATTTGCGGTTTTGCAGCTGAAGATGGTGGTTCGGTAAAACCATCGAAACTAGTCCTGTGAAAATTTTGTAAATATAACGCTGATTTTTGTTGTTTGACTTCTGAATTAGAATACAGAGCAAGTTTGTTAACATTGAGTAAATGGCTCTCTCGTTAATCTGGCGAGGTATCATCAAGCTAGCAGCAACTATTTTTTGTCACCAAATTTGGCAAGAAATCGCCAAACTTCCGGACCATTTGGCGACATTTTGGTCCAGTCCCTGTGTCACCGTAATAAGTACTGCAATTGAATAACATTCATTTTGGATGCTCTGTAACCGTACTCGGCCTGCCTGCCAGTAATATCTAGAAGCAGAAAGTACTAGAAATATCTCGGCGGCCAGGTGAAAGCTATATAAGACCGGAGAGAGCATCTGCTTGTAGTTGTAGTTGTGAGTTGTTAGCTCAGCTCTAACTCGGAATACTGATATATCTCCCGGTTAACTTCCTCTTTAGATGCGCTTTGCATTGCATTGCGTTTAACATTCTTTGTAGTTTGAAGTGTAACTACTGATTGTACTCTGTGATACTGTGAACACTTGTACGAGTATTTCTGTGGAAAGTTCTAGGATTCTGAAATGTTTCTTTTGATTAAAAAAAATTATCAATCTAGACCTGTGTGCATTCAATCTATTACGAACCGGTACGCACGCAACACCATTAAGGATAATTTTAAATAAATAAAAAATTATATTTGATTTCTCAGTTGGAAAAAGCGAGAACTTAAAACTCTTAAGCATAGCTATTTAATATTGATAGCATAGTAAAATTATTCATTCATCATTTTGTGATGCTGACGTTGTTGAGCTGCGGAATCTTTACAAAACCTTTGCTGTTTCTTTAAAATGATTGGATCAGTTACAGACACTTGATGTAATAAATCTAGTCTTAAGCATTAAGAGTACTAGATCTCTTTTATTTTCTTTAATCACATTCTCTGGATTCCATAATAATATTGTGTATAAATTAGTTTTTCAATATTAAGTACAATGAAACATGAACCGAGGCTTCCAGACTGTTTTGGTCTTTGGTTGAGGTGTTCGGAGCAGAGATCATGAGATGATAATCAATGACGAAGTTTATTAATAAGTACAACCGTTAAAAAGTGCTACCATTTACACCAAATGTAATTAACCGGTTTCTAGACTAAAATATTCGCTGGTTAGGCCCATTCTGGAATATGCTGCCCCCATCTGGAACCAGTCTCATCTTCTGCAAAGAGTAAGATCGACACTGTCCAGTACAGAGCATCTAAGATCATTATTGGTGCCGTTTCATCTACAAATAACAACAAAGCAGAAACTGAATGCGGCCTAACCTTATTAGAAAACAGAAGAAAATTGGCCATCGTTCAAGTTCACAAACAAAATTAGAAGCCTTAGAGATCTTCATATCTCCAGCAAAACCTTCAAATGGAAAGAAAAAAATAGATTAAAACGGTCCTCCATCCTACAATTCGACAATAAAATCAGGAGAGAAATCACTTAGGCAAAGTTGTTTTGGTTCTTTTTATCATCCTGAAAAGCGTTTAATTCCGTCATTTAAAAAAAGACATGCAAACGGTCAATATTTCACAAAAAAATAATATATTAATCGGACAGTGGATGGACAAAAATATGGAAACACCTTGTGAAATGCATGTTTGAAAAGAAAGATTGATTTTAATGAAATATGTAGGTGGCGCTGGCGTTTTTGACTACTGACGCCACCTATACAACTTCGTAAATGTGCTAAACAGTTCAGTTGTTGTCGGAGTACTGTTATGTGAGGTTGTCATTGCATTATGTCAGAGTTAACAGACTTCGAACGTGGGCAAATTGTTGGAGCATGTATGGTAGGTGCTTCCGTAAGCAAGGTAGCCGGGGTGTTTAGTGTTTCAAGAGGTACTGTATCGAAGATTTATTCCGCATATTTGAAAAGCGGAAAAACATCATCTGCTAAATAACAGCGCGGACGAAAGTGTGTCCTGAGTGATCGTGACAGACGATCATTAAGGGCAATTGTGACGAAAAATAAGAAGACCACAGCTGCAAAAGTTACTGCTGAAATGAATGTTGTGTTACCGAACCCTGTGAGTACCAAAACAATTAGAAGGGAGCTTCATAAACAGGGAATTGCTGGCCGTGCTGCAATTGAGAAGCCACTCATCAGTGATGCTAATGCCCGTAACAGGAAAAGGTGGTGTTTAAGTCATAAAGCCTGGACTATAGAGCAGTGGAAGCGAGTAATATGGTCTGACGAGTCTTCTTTCACATTGTTTCCCACTTCTGGCCGAGTTTACGTCTGGAGAACGCCATCTCAAGCCTATAATACAGACTGCTTGTTGCCAAGAGTGAAACATGGCGGGGGTTCTGTTATGGTTTGGGCAGCCATATCGTGGTTCTCTGCTAGCCCCATGATAACTGTGTCAGGGCACATGACTGCCAAGACTTATGTGAACATTTTGGCCGATCAAGTTCATCCCATGGTACAAACTTTGTTCCCCGATGGTGATGGTGTCTTCCAAGACGACAAAGCCCCTGTTCACACAGCTCACATTGTCCAGGACTGGTTTTCTGAGCACGAGGATGAGTTGTCCCATCTCCCCTGGCCACCACAGTCACCAGACCTGAATATTATCGAACCTTTGTGGTCTACATTGGAACGGAAAGTGCGTTCTCGTTATCCACCGCCAACATCGTTATCTGAACTTGCCACCGTTTTGCAGGAAGAATGGTATAATATTCCCTTGGCAAACATACAGGAACTGTATTTATCCATTCCGAGAAGACTGCAAGCTGTTTTGGATGCCAACGGGTTTCCTACACACCATATTAAGCAAAGAAACATGTTTTTTTTAAAGGTGTTTCCATATTTTTGTCCACCCCTGTTTCCATGCTATGGAATCTAACCAAACTTTTAAATTGTCAATTATACTGGAGTTACCTCAAAGCTTTTTTATTCAGCGTAGACTCGGTTTTATTCTTACTAAATTGCCTAAGCCATCTTAAGGGGCAACTCTCAACTTATCCAGGACATTATCTTGCTCATGAACAAAACTACTGCAGCCCAAAGGACCTGTGCACTGCAGTGGATACCAGCGCATGTTGATATTTACGGAAATGTGCAGACTGATGGCCTTGCCAAAGACGCCTGAAATAGTTCTCAACTTTCTAACAGCTTAACCCTTACAGATGCTGACTCAATAGCCAGCCGAAGATTTACCTCCCAATCAATCAAGAAGAATTCCATTCCTACCCTAAACTGTAACCGTATCATTTCCACTACCATAGCCAGACTGAGGACAAAACACTTCAAAGGAATGAAGATACCCTGTGATGGCCAGCGAAATTATAATAACGGTCCTCACTTTACTGATATCCAATTTTCTCCAGACCATCTCTTCGACTGTCCTGCTATTTTGGCCAAGCTCTTCAGTATAGTATTCTTCAGCCACTTACTACTTGATGGCAGGCCCGTCAGCCGCTTACCATCCGGAAAACGTTGTCGGCCTTCACCACACCGAGGTGGTGGCCACGACAGTATGCAGCCAGGGAAGCAAATATTCTTTATAAATATTCTCAGAAATAATATTACTTCTACCAAGGGAACAATGGATAGAATTGCTGAACACTGGTAATTCGAATCATGCAAGGAAGTTAGCAGCATGGATGTATCCCATGTGTAACATGAATACGAACTAGATTTCCCTAGAAATACCTCCAGGAAAGCATCTTTCCTCTCCAGGCAGGTAGCGTTTGTGCTCTTTACTGTTTCAATTGAATAAACAAGGACTTTCAGAAGGGTGAGGGCGCGAGGTTTCATTGTATATTGATTGCTATTTCTCCGCTGAATTTTTATTTGAAATTTTGGTGCACAATAAATCTGAGGAATGATTACCTGAACTACCCGCATATCAAGTCCCGTCTCAGCTGACAGTTGTTCTCTGACGTGACGACTTGGCTTGGAGCTTCGTTGATAGGCCGCCTTCAGTGCTTCCAGCTGGACTGTGGATATAGTGGTGCGAGGGCGTTTGCTGCTGGCACCTGTTCTGAAAGAAGAGTATGCTGTCATCTTAAGCTTCCTTTTATATGTATTAGCGAAATTTTTATATTTAATGTTTAGCAAATTAAGCATTTTAATAAGAAAACAAAAATGTGAGGTTAAGCTTTGCTCCACGAGGTTGTAATCAATAAAAAATGGTGCCACAATTTTTGTGCTTGTTTATTTACTTTTCATAGTTAAGCGATGAAACTTCGCATAATGACGCAGAATATTTTGCTTCTGGAAAAAGAGGATCTTCTGTCAGATATTTTCGAAATATATAACTTAAACTTGAGGGTTGAGGAGATCTTGGAAAGGGGACATTGATGATCCTAAGCACGATAAAGACATAATAAGAAGCAAGTAAGTAAAGATATCCTAGAAGAATCTGGAGGTCTAAATAATCGTGAAAAAATTTTGGGTATCATATTTCAACGAAAATATCGATTTTGACCGCTATCCAATGCACTTTAACGATGTTTTGCGCGACATCTTTAAGAACAGAATAAAGTATTTTTTTCCCCAAAAAGAAAATATAAAATTGATTTAAAATGAATTCTGAAGATAATTTTTCGTTGCTTCTGTACCTACTTACGTATCTCGCATAACTCAAAAACGAGTAGTCTCAGAACGTTGAAATTTTGTATGTAGGACTGCTATAACATGTAGATGTGCAGCACTATAACATGTTTTGGTTGCAATCGGCCGCACCAAATGTATATAAATATATATATATATATATATATCCACTCTGTTACTTGGCTCAGTGAGCTAAGTTTCTTTATTCTTATATGTTTGTAAATTGTGCTTTTTTTTTTTTTTTTTTTTCTTATTTTAAAAATGATTGAATTATATTGTTCTTATCTTCCGGTTAAGGTTTTTATGCCTTTAGTAAATCTACATGCAATATTTTTAGAATTATCAACAATTTAAAAGTTGTTCTATTGCGGCTAAGTCTAATTATTTTTGTCATGGCGGCCATGTTTGTTTTCATTTGAAACAGCAGAATAGTAGATTTGATGCCAATCTAGAGAAAGTAAGCTTCGCACTAACAAAGATAATGCCATTGCGAATTAAATCATGCTTAATCCATTCTGGAGTTTATTTGAGGAAATAAGTGTTTAAGATTTACTTCATAATTTTCAATACAGATATTTTAAGTTTTTATGTATTTTTGCCTTGTCGCGAGGTGAAAACTGAATTAATTGAATAAGAAATATTGAATCGTCTGAGAAAAACTTTTTTTTTTTTTTTTTTTTTGTTTGCTTATTTTCTTTTATATATCGTTTTATATTTATTATAGTATTTGATGTGGCAAAGATTAGATAATTCTTAAGATGATATACATTTTGTGCATTCTGGGTTAAAAAATGAATGAAATGTAACGCTGTTAAGCGAACTTGGAGCCAGAGTGTCGCTGTGGTAAACGTAGTGAATTTTAAAATATGCATTTATTCTATTGTAGTTTATGCGCTATCGACAATATAAATTTAATTCAATCCAATAAAGTTTAAATGAAATGCAAGAAAAAATGCGTATAATTTAATAATCCGTACAATTAAGTCATGTGGTGTGCACATCAGATTTTTTAATTTTTACTATGCCAACAACGATACTAGTCTTGAAACACGAATTTGCTTTTTTTCATATTAAGTCGCCATTCGGAAAAACGTAAGATATTATTCTTTCATATTAAATCTATCTGTTATTAATTAATTAACAAACTAAATCATTAACTAAGCAAACAAAGTAAACAATAAATGCATATCTAAATAACATTATTTTTTCTTACTTTTTAATGTGATTGGTCTAAATAAAAATGCATTTATATCTAATTAAGAACATTAAATATTTTTATAGAATTACATTATTACATATTTTTCCACTTTTTAAACACACAAAAGATGTATAATTTTCCCATGCTATTCTATAGTATGGATATTCATCTAATATCCAGTAAAACGTTTCGCTATTCCACTTGGACCATCTCTATTGATAATCCCTTCTGATAAACCAGATTAAAATTTAAAAGACCCTTTTTAAGCAATCCCCAAAATATGAAAATAAACTTTTATTTTATTTATTTATTATTTTTGAAAGAACTGTAAATAATAATTCTTTGCATAACTTACCCCTATCTCCAATAAGAGAAATTGCCATATAATCTGGCTGACAAATAAGTTTCTGGTCTTCCATCAAGTAGAAGCGATCTCCCGTCGCAAGTTGCCTTCCGCATAAGATGCATATGAAGCACTGCATGTGGAAAACCAAGCTGCGAACTTTTCGCACTGTTTCCAGCGGTAAAACCCCATTACCACATCCAGCACAACGGCTGCCATATTTCCTAGGAAAAGAAACCACATTTGGAAAGCTAACACAGCAGGATACACTTGTCACTGCATAAGTTATTGACGTTTACAAAATCCTTGTGAAAATTTAAATATTAATAATTTCAAAATATACTAAAAATACAATAAACCTTGTCTTGGCGATCATCTCCATCAGACTCCTTAAGAGACCAGTACAGTAAGACCCCGCTTAACGCTGTTTCGGTTTAGCGCTCTTTTATTTCAACCCGGGGATTCTCCGAAATTGTGCGCAGCGCTAGGTTTCCAAATAACACATCCGAAACAGTGTAGTTGTGTTTCTTGCTTTTTATCATTTGAAACAACATTGTTGACATTATTGTAAATTTGATATATAATACTATAACGATTAATAATACAGTGACAAATAGTATGTATGATCTTTAGTTCTTATCGTGGGTGATAATAAAAAACAAGAAAAGAAAGCAACCAGAAAAAGCATTTCACTGGAAACTCAAATGCAAGTGATTAGAAGATTAGATTCTGGTGAACGTCAATCTCACATTAGTGCTGCATTGATTTTGGCAATTTCAACAATAAGGACAATTCTTAAGAATAAAGAAAAAATACTGTCATCGGCAACTGCAACTACGTCAAGCTCTGCAACTAGAATTACCCGTTCTAGAAATAACATTATAAGAGGAAATGGAAAAACGACTGTCTATATGGATTGACGACGAAATTGAACGCAATATGCCATTAAGCCAATCTATCATAATGCCTTCTTGACAAAAAGGCAGAAAATTGGAAACCCAGAATAGACTGAATGATCTGACTGAGAATTTTATTTGTTTTTATAAAGTATATTGCGTTTATATTGTTTTTATTTTTGTAAGAAATAAATGTTTGATTTTATTTTTATTAAAAAAAAACATTATTAAATTTAATGCCTAACCATTTTTTATCCGTCTTCCCCTAACCCCATTATTTACATGTTAAGATAGCCTCGCTTAGCGCTGTTTCGCATTACGCTCTACTTCGATGGAACGTATCCCCCGCGTTAAGCGGGGTCTTACTGTATTTGTATAAATAAATCATAAATAAATATAGTTATTGAATATTTCTTCTTTAAGCAAAACATCTCTAGAGAATACCAAATTAATCTAGAAGCTGCGTAATTTAGTGTAGTTGAAACTCGCTATAACGAACTTCAAAAACTGAAAGTTTGGTTTCCTAACTCCAATCCGATAACATAAGTGGATTAATAGATCATATGGCAACGATTAGATTATTCTTAAGATGATATAAATTTGGTGCATTGTGAATTAAAAAATGAATGAAATGTAATGCTGTTAAGTGAACCTAGGGCCAGAGTGTCGCTATGATAAACAAACATAGTAAGTTTTAAAGAGTGCATTTATTCTATTGTGGTTTATGCGCTGTCGGCGAAGTAGATTTAATTCAATCCAATACAAGGAAGTCATGCGGTGTACACATCAGATTTTTTTTTAATTTTTACTATGCCAAAAGGGATATTAGCCTCGAAACACGAATTTACTTTGTTTCCTGTTAAGTCGCCAACCGGAAAAACGTAAGATATTATTCTTTCATATGAAATCTGTCTATTATTAATTAATTAACAAATTATTAAAAAATAGGAGAAGCGAACGAATTGTTCTTCCATTTAGAAGTTTGTTTTTGCTCGCTATGATAAGGGATCTGTGTCTGATCTGTTGAAATCAAAAGAGTTTTGCTCAAAATATAAGCTAAAATATAGTTGTTGTTTTCCCTAATTTAAAATTTTATAATAGCATGTTTCTCTTCCAGTTTGGAGTGAAACGTTATAATAGGTGTGTTTGTAGTACTTTTGCAAAATGCTTGAAAGAAGCTATTTCCTGTAATGATACTTCAAGCTCCTGATCACATCTTGATCCATAGGTTGCAGCATGGAAATTGTGTTCGGGGTTAAGAAAACAATTTTAATCCATTTTGAATTTTTGGGCATCTTTGTTAAATCAAGTACAGTAACCAGCAGTAGAATCTTTCGCTTTTTGGCCGAAGTTTTTTCATCTCAAAAAACTTTTCTTCAAACAGTTTTGAGAACATCCATGCCTTAAGAATAGCTTTAAAGGAAGATGCCATAAGATTAGCTTTAAAGATGAGCTTTTCCACTTTTGAAGTGCTCTTGACTTTTGAGATTTTCCAGTCACCAAAAGCCTTTGAAGCTCAATGCCATTCATACTGTTAAACAAAAGAAAGAACTATAATTCATGCTTTTAAAAAGTTTCCGTTAGTGCGTCTTTGGTCTTTAAAATTTAATATTTGGTTTGACATTATCTTGTAGAGCAAGGATGTTAAACTCGCGGCCCGCGGGCCGCATGCGGCCCACAACAAATATTTTTGCGGCCTGGCCAATATATCGGCAAATAATAATATATAATAATAAAATAACATATCGACGAAGAAAAAAATGAAATGTTTATTGCTAAGTAATTAACGATAATTTATTCAGTGTTGTTAGATTACTCACAGCGAGCTGACACACACACTACTTAAATTACAAATGCGTGTGAGTAGCTTGTGTTCAGCTACCTTCGGCTTTTGGGGGACACGTGCACTCAGAACTTGTACGCATTCCCCGATAGCCGAATGTGGCCGAACTCTTGGTCTCTGTTTTCCAGTCATAGTTTTGTACGATATATTGGTGCATACACTTTGCTTTATTATTAATTATTACTTAATTCATATTATTACGGATTTCATAGTTATTTATTTAGTTAGTTCTTTTTATTTAGAATTGTAATTAGATTTGCTTCATGTTGCCTTAGCAACGCAGACGATTTTTTGAAAAGACAGCTGCGTTGGAAGGTTAAAAATAGAACAGCGCGTGCATTTAATACCTAATAAATAAATATCTCGTAATTGCTGTTGCCATCCACAAAAATCCAGATATTTATAGATGTTTCCAGTATATTCGAGAAATTAATTATAAAGCTTATAAAAGCCGAGAACAAACAACTCATCTCAGTAGTAGCTGTAGTTCTAGCGAACTGTTTGTTTACTTAATGCTGTGATTGATTTGTAGCGATTTCGCTGTGAGATAGAATTAGTTTCTCTGTTTTGAATTGATTTTTGCTAAACGTTTGACATTTTGTGATATTGTTAGAATATTTTTGAAGAAATATTTCAGCATTTTGATTTATCTCTTGTGGAAAGAATAAATTTTTGTTAACTTTTTAACGTTAACCGTGTTTATTGCAGCCCTTTGTATTTAGTATGTCTATATCAAAACCAAGTGGTAGTAAAATTAAACGAAAAATTGTATTTTTTGCGGCCCGCCTAAAGTTCTAGTTTTTTTTTTTTTTTTTTTTTTTTTTTTTTTTTTTTTTTTTGCGGCCCGCCTGAAGTTAAACCTTGTTTGTTTAGCCCAAGTGTACCTATGAGTTTGACATCCCTGTTGTAAAGCAACCAAGCTTCATCGGCTCGAAGCGTCTTTTTCGGATACTGACGAGAAATATCATCCCATATTTTTTTTTTTTTTTTTTTTTTTTTTTTTTCATTCTTCGACATCTAATTTTACCTAATTCTCCGACAATTTTCCTTTATAAAATATTGTTTCGTTTCTTAAACATATCTAAGTAGATATTTGAACATAAAAATCAATTTTTTCAAAGTGTTTGGTAAATTTATTGTCCTTTGTCTGAAGCATTTATTCAGATATTGGCAGACTGCGGCTTCTTTAAATGGTAAAAGGTTTTAGCAGTTCTGCTTTAACATCCTTATGTTTGCTTTTCTCAAATTTTTTCTTGAATCCAATTTTTTACCATGAGAAGAAATAACCAAGTCTTTATTTTTCCATACGCTATCATCAGCTGCAGATTTAAATAAATTGTATTCCCGGCAGATATCGCTTTAGCTGCATCTATTTTGTATTTTTTGAATTATGTTCACCTTATCTTTAATGCAAAATGCTTCATGTTTACAGCTGCCCTTGAGGATGAATGTTTTATTCAAAAACAGAGCTCAGATCGTTTGGTCAAACAATATATGAAAATTTTGTCCTTCTGAAAAAATTGAAAAAGCAAGATAATTTCATGACTATTTTGTCTTATCCAATGTCCAAAGATAACGTAATCATTTCCCCAAGATATATATATTTGCAAGGCAAAGATTCAATAACTTTTATAAAGAATATCCTATATTTTACAAAAGACCTAAAGAATGCAAAATCGGAGAACAGAATTTGAACAGAACTTGCTTATTTAAGTGTTCGAGTCAATGATGGCGATCTTTCACTCCATTAGGTATTAAATTAAATTAAACTGTCTACCTTTTTAAACTCACTTTCATATGCTAATTAATTTGCATAACCTTCTGGTTTGAGTGAATTACGTAGCGTGAAACAAAGAAAAGTTAAAACAGTAGGTAAACTTTATTGCAAGCCTTAAAAAATAACTCATAATATAAGTAACTTGTTATAGTGAATTTTAAAAGAAATGGCTAGGTCGGATTATTTTGAATTCTGCAAAACAAAAGAGGGCTGTTTGCGTAAGGGAATGGGATGCCTTCATGGAGAATTTTAAACAAGAATTCAGAGGTTTATTAGATTTGGCTGGTTCCAACAACTGGAGATTATGCTCTTCTCAAGAGAGCCATACGTACCTGAAGAAGTGTTCCTTGCAGAAGTTTGCAGAATCTCTGTGATAACATCTCTCCGACAAAAGTACAGAGCAGACCGAGCACCGTAAACAACCTGAATGCCACAGTTGGTCTCGAAGTTTTAGCATGACTCTATCAAAAATCGGATTCTGGCAACCTGAGCATCGCAGTACTAGTTCCCCTGCAGGAAAACATTTGGACTGTTATTGAAAAGAAAAACTCTAAGATATTTATTATAAAAGCGCATTAATACTAATAATAGCTTGCTTATTTTTGAGTACTAGATTGGAAAATCACGTAATACGTTAATCGACGTCAGAAACGTCCTTATAGAGTGTCCAAAATTTTTGGAACGTTAAGTTGCACTACCATGCATGTACCAACTATTCGTTTTGGCATTTGGTACTTTTTTGAATCTCGATTCAAGTCCCTAAAAGTCTTGAACAATTGCAATTCTAGTGGTCTTACAAGTACAGTTGTCGTTACATGTACGAGTGTTATGACAACGAATGTATTTTTTGGGTGAGGTGTCAGTATCATCGATCATGAGTGTATTATAGTGTATGCCTTTTGTTACCTTTTCTTCTAATCCTTTTATTGTAAAAATATTTTAACATAAAGGTACATTGTATAAACTTTATATAATCGCATATTGTATATAATATGAATCTAATTGCTATTTATTTCAGTAATTAGTACAATGTATTGTACCACTAGTGTTTACCTTCTCTTGTTAATATCACCATCACCTGTTGTTATTGTTTTCTTTTTTATTGTACTATACTACTTATGTTACTCATTCTACAACTTTTACCATACATACTAGTATTTTACCTGTAATTTAGTTGTTCGGTCATATGATGTCCATTGTAACATAATATAATACGTTAGTCTTTATAAATAAGAAAATATCTGATAAGGATCTATTACTGCTCATATCTATCACAGCTTTGCATTAATTACTTTGTCATACATATTCTGACCATTTATTATCTACCCAATACTCAAAATGAGTTAGATAGATGCTCTTTCAGAAATTAATTCTGACTTTGATCTAAATTCGGAGTCTATTATTGAGGAATCACAAGACCTCGTCTTCAATATGATGGAAAGTGCTAATCAAATCGAAAATTACTACAATAAAGGTATAAAACTATTAAAAACCAAGAAAGGAAAGAAAAACCATCATTCCATTAAAACTACAAGAAATCCTCAAAAATATCTTCGATAACCTAAAAAATGCCGTGGTGATCAACCTAGAAAATAAGCAGTAAGTCGATAAATCTGTACAAGTTTCTCCTAACAGATTTTCTCTTAACAAACTTAAAAATCTTATGCTAAATCCTTCCAAATATCACCTGAATGCAAAATTCAAGTTTCACAATCTCAATCAGAATTTCCCGTTAGTCATGATCCAGTTCACTTTAGCATTCTCTTGCTTCTCATAATATAGCACGAGATAACTGTCACAAAAATGACAATATCCTCTCCAATAAAAAAAAAAATCTGAAATGTTTCAGATTTTAAATTACGTCCAAAGGGGCGTTTTTTAACATTTTGTGTGTTACCTTTCTTTATTAAATATCATGTTCCTCGCACTTAAACCATAAGATCCAGTGCAACAGCAATATCGCAAAATAGTTTTAAAACGAGCATATCTTTAGAATTTCCGATACAGAGACTCACGCGCTGGAGATAAAAATGTTTTTTCTGCACAACGTTGCCATTGCTCGCTTTGAAATCCTTGAGTTTGTTAATCAAAAATTCGTCAAAGTTTTAAAAAAAATAGGAAATCGATCATAAAACAAATTTCAAATTTCAAATTTGGTCTTCCACATGCTCATATTCGTTGGAGGATTACGTTATTCAAAATTCGATGACTCTATGTACCGTTGTTTTATCACAATACGAGAAATATACATACATTTATGCAGATTTTTCATTATTTAATTTCTTCAAATATAATGCAGGACTCTAACATTTTGTGGCAACAGTTTGAAAAGTGAACCGACATTTATGAGTCCGACGCAAAATGCCAAAACGAAACTAATAGTCCTTCGGGATTCAAATCCCTTTGGACTAAAAAACTACCGACTTTGCTAATTTTTTTCTAAAGGTAACAATACAACCTCAAAACTCTTTGAAGATTTTGATCAGAATCTACCATTAACTAACCTAAACATAAATCTTGTTAAGATAACTGTACTTAGAAGTAGTGGCATCGCCGTATCCTGTCACAATAATAATGATGTGTATCTGCTGAAAGAAACAGAAAGTATTAAACCTCTCCGTCAAAGAAATACTGCTCAGGATCTCAGTACCCAGACTATTGCGGTGTAATCTTCATCACGTTCTTTCAAAATATACAGAGAAAGATATCATCAATATTATTGACAGCAATTATTATTGGAATTATTATTGACAGCAAATTGAGTTTTGCGGAATATTTTAAGCATATACATAGAATCCCAGATAACATTTTAAAATGTTATAAGTATAATTTTAATGCTGATACTTTGAATAGAAAGAGTTCCACCCTGAGAGAGATTTTTAGAAATGTGATCATCCCTAAAATACACTCATGTCCATAAATTAAGGATAATGCAAAATCAGGCAAAGGAAGAGTTAGAAGCAAAACAAATTTGACTTATTTGTAAAGCTTATTTATTAAACAAAAGGTAAAGAGCAAAAAAAGATGCAATATGTTTGATATTATTAAAAAAATTTGCGATTTTTTCTCCCTGGAGCTAATTACAAAAAAAAAACCTATTTACAAAAATCCAATATTACATGGTTGGTATGATTGTTAATACATTGTACGTCTCCCAGACGATGCAATACAGTCCGTACAACGCCTAGGCATGCTTAGTATCAAATTATCGATCTGATCTTGGGGGATATTACACCACTCAAAAAGCAATGCTCTCCGAAGTTCCGGTAGACATGTAGGAGGAAGTGGAGGGACTGGAACCCGTAGGCCAAGCATGTCCCACACGTGTTCTACTGGATTCAAGTCCGGTGAGAATGCTGGCCAGTCCATACGGGTGATATCCTCCGACTGAAGGCATTCGCTTACCATGTTTGCACGGTGAGGTCGGGCGTTGTCATCTATAAACACAAATTGTGTGCCCATGGCGCCCCGAAACAAACGTACATGTTGTTCCAGAATGACGTCCCGATAGATTTGGCTTGTCATGGTTCCAATTTGAACATGCAGGTCAGTATTCAGGAACCCAGAATAATTCCACCCCAAACGAGCACTCCTGCACCACCTTAACGTTGAAGTCCGGCGAGAATCAGACTGCAAGCTAAACCTGGACTCGTCGAAAAACATCACACAAGCCCACTGTTGCGGTGTCCACAATGCATGCTCTCTACTACAGGCTAACCGCAGGCGACAGTGAGTTGCAGTAAGTGGAACGCATCTGACAGGTCTACGAGCATATAGACCAATCTGCTCTAAGCTACTGTAAACGGTCTGCCTTGAAATTGTCGTACCAGTGGCTGAAGAGAGCTGACGAGACAGGTTTGAGGCTGTTCTCCGCCGGTTTCTTTTGGCAGTAACTGCCAAATACTGGTCCTTCATTCGGCGTTGTAACTCTGGGGCGACCTGTGCTGTAACGTCTACTCACATTACCATCATCTTGTAATCGTTGCCAAAGCCTCAGATGACACTCTGGGCAATTCCAAGTTCGTCTGATACTTCCAGTTGGGTATGCCCACATTCCAGACGGCCGATAATTCTACCACGTAAAAAATCATCCAAATGCGTCCTTTGTGTCATAACTATTCGGTTATTGCACTGAAATGCTTATAAAGCGCCTGCGAACAATTTTACTTCTTTGCCTCTATTCCTTATATATCACTCTCTTACACTCTCGTCATTGTGACGTACCATCGGTGTCATCTGGTTACTTCCTGAAATTTGCATATGATTCTTGAAGATGTGTGTAGTGATTTTACAGGTGATATATTTATTTTAGAGTTCAATTTCCGCGTGACTCCGAATTATCCTTAATTTATGGACATAAGTGTATTTTATGGAGTCGGAGCTTGGGGCTGCCGGGCAGAGGAGGTACTTAGGATTAGAATGAAATTGAACACCCTGCAGAGAGGCTGGATGCTTGCCATTACAAGAACCTTCAGGACCGTTTCAAATGAAGTTGCCTGCGTCCTTGCGGGTGTTTCACCCCTCTCGATTCCATACAAATTATACTACAGAAAGTTTCTGTTAGCTAATAGAATTATTATAGATACTGATATTGGACAAATAGTACTCACAAGTAAGGCCTTTCAACAAGAGAATGAGTATATTATTCACTCAATGACATGATTTGGATTATTTTATGACCTTGAGTTTCTTTCTGGTGGCGAAATAGACGTTTATACTGATGGTTCTGAAATTGATCGGGGAGTGGGTAGCGCTGTGGAAATTTATATTCATGGAGGGGAAATTGACAATGCCAGAATAAAACTTAAACCAATGAATTCAGTTTATCGAGCAGAACTATACGCATTGACAGAGGCTTTGAATTGGATTAATAAAAAATTAACAGTTCGATGTTTTATAAATATTTATACTGATGCCCTATCTGCGCTTCAGGCACTCGCCCAACCAGATCATAAAAATCGACTAATTAATGAAATAAAAGCCTTGTTTAAAAAGCCTTATTTAAAAAGCCTTGTTTAAAAAGGCTGAAAGAAAACATATTGTTAAATTACACTGGGTGAAAGCACACAGTGGAATTGTCGGAAATGAAAGAGCGGACACCCTTGCTAAAAGGGTGGCCCTTGGGGATGGGACCGATAATTTTGATATCTAAGATGCAAGAAAAAAGACCATTGCTGAAATGGAAAACTGGATTTATACAGAAGGGAATTTTTGATGGGAGTCGTCTAATAAGAAAAAAAGAGTTAACGAAAAATATAAAGTTAAACAAGAAGATGAATATTATAAATAATGTTGATATAAATCAGGTACTGACTAATCATGGACGTCTCCCGGCTTATTTTAATCGGTTCCATCTACGGAATGATGATAAATGCTTAATTTGTGATAAGTTTGGGGAAGCCAGGCACTTTCGTCCATGACTGTACGCTTACCCGGTGTGCAAGAGAGACATATAAAAAGAATTTTAAGGAAGATTTTAAAAGGAACTATTCAAATTTGAAAGATTTTGCAGAGACAATAATGGAGATT